TTATTCTTCTTCAGCTACCTTTCATTTTATTTTGATTTGTATATATTTTTTTGGTTTTGGTTTATTTTTATTATTGTACATAAGATTTTTTAATGAAATTAAGAAATTTTTGAATTGAATTTATGCTCTCTTGCCGCAAGATAGAGGACCTTCAATAACGTATAAGACCAGATGGGAGAAAGATGCAAATATACAATTAACTAAAGAGGAAAGTAATGGTTAAATATCTATACAACACAATCGACTATCACTAGTTCACTGTGGAGAAAGTAATAATTGGAAAAATAATTTGAGATTTTTCATTACTCTCACAATAAAACAATTAATAATCAAAAAACAGAGCTGGGTAATGTTGGAGACAGTGTGGGAATGACTGCAGGACATTTCCACAGTTTTGGGATTGCCCTGCTATCTCCTCATGCTGGAAGGATGTTGTGTCTGCAATCAGATCCATCATTAAAAGAGTGATTACCTTTACTTTAGGAAATATATCAGAGGAGCTACAGAGAGGGGATATTGGTTGCAGATATTACTAGCTGGTAGTAAAAAAAAGCTATTACCAAAAAAGGGCTAAATAATAAATCCACAGTAATTAGCAAATTAAAAAAAAATCTGGAAAATTTGCAGCGTGGAACAAATGACACTTTCTCTAAGATATGCCACCAAGAGAGGAGAGGAATACTGGAAAAACTGGATATCCTATAACAGCCTCCAGTCTTACTGGACTCAACTGAACAACGGCTTGAAGGATAAAACCTGATGGACCCATGTACCTCTGTTCATATAAAACTTTCAGTCCTACATATTCATGAACCCCATGTTTGTTATGAAGACCTTGTCTGTCTGTCCTTATGTTTATTCTATCCTTTTTTTTTTTTTTTTGCTGTTGATGTTTAAAAAACGTAAAGTTAACAAAAAGTCACAGGATCAGATCAGATCAGATTGTGCTAACAGGGTGCTGGATAATCTATCTGAAGCTGAGAAATCAGTTCTATTTTGTGTAAGCTCCGCCCTCTAAGGCTGTCGCTGATCAGCGACAGCCTCAGAGGGCGGAGCTTACACGAAATAGAAGCTTGGGTTACAATACGTAACCATCGATCTCATTAACATAGTTGCCTGATGAAAACTGCGTCAGTTTCGCCTGCCCCTTCGTGGGTGTATTTGTTTTTGAAGAAAAGCACTCCGACAACAATGGTGACATTTCACTTCAACTACTCCTCTTCCACAAAGCGGCTGTTGTGTGTACAAACAACATGGAGGAATCAGCTGCAGAACAGTGTGGCTCTATTTGTGACAGACCTGTGGCCCAACAGTGAATGTCTGAGTGGAGACTTGAGTGATGTGATGTGTGTCATGTGTGTCCTCAACTATGAAAGGTGTGTGTGTGTGTAAACAAACGTCTCACAAACACTTGATCTGGAGTCAACTGTTTGGATTTGGATAGATGCTGAACCCTTTAAACATTTTAGAATCCAAAGGCACTAAGATTCAAATAAAAAAACACCTTTACTAATGACTTTTTCTGCCAGCTAATCCAACAACCTGTCAACTGTCTTTACTTTTATTTGTGAGAATAGATTTTAAAAGCTCAAGTTGTTATTTCAGTTAGTGCTCAAATTAACTTGCATCATAAATTTGTTTTAGTCTAATCCCATGAATGATGATTGAAAAATCAAGCACTTGTTGAATGATGTGTTGGTAATAATGAAAGTAACTCTTCATCAGCTATCAAAAAGAAAAAATAAGTAGGTCCTCTGGATGGGTTCTTCTTTAGTGAAACGTTACATCTCTCCTCCAAGAGACTTCTTCAGTCTGAGGAGTTTCAGGTGAACTCAGTCTTATAAGCACTGCCTCCACATGGACAAACAGGTTAGTCACATGTAAAAGAGGGCCATCGCCTAACAATAGGCTTGATTAGCTCTATTTAGTCACATGTAAAACAGGGCCATTGCCTAACAATAGGCTTAATTAGCTCTTTTTAGTCACATGTAAAAGAGGGCCATTGCCTAACAATAGGCTTGATTAGCTCTATTTAGTCACATGTAAAACAGGGCCATTGCCTAACAATAGGCTTAATTAGCTCTATTTAGTCACATGTAAAACAGGGCCATTGCCTAACAATAGGCTTAATTAGCTCTATTTAGTCACATGTAAAACAGGGCCATTGCCTAACAATACGCTTGATTAGCTCTATT